TACGAGTTTAAATCAGTGAAATTCACCTTCGCGCCAACTCTGCCAGGCTCGAGCCGAATCCTCCGGCGCGGCATCCCCTAGAACCGCGTGACTGCGTTTTCTCTATTAGATCTCTGTGACAAAAATTTAATTTAATTTAGTTTCAACTAGTAATTTAATAAATTAATATCAAATAGTTATACGCGACAGCAAGACAGTGAAAAGAAATTGTAACGGCACATTCGAGTTCGTTCCCAATGCGTAATAAAAAATAATTAAAGCCGAATAAAGAAGTAATAATACTCGATTAATTAATAGATGATGATAATAATGTCTGATCGATAACCGTATAATAATGTCCGGTAATATCAATTAATTACAAACACGACAGCAAAACAACGTAAAGAAATCATTGTAACGGCACGCTCGAGTTGCTTCCCAATACGTAATAAAAATAGTTAAATGATAACCGAATAAAGAAATAATAATACTCGAATAATAAATGGATGATGATAAATATTTTTGATCGGCATTGAGGAACTCGATCGCGACGTTTCTCTATCTAATAAGTAAAAAAATAAATAAAACGCGGTAATTACCCGCTGCGGTAAAACTCACAACACCTGCTACGCGTCTCAATTTATGTTAATTATTGTCTTAATTGTGGCGAAGTCAAAATGCGGAATTAAAAATTGGCGCGAAATAATTTAGAAAATAATATCAGGCAACCACGATACGCTCGCCTCGATGGCTGATAGCGTTATGGCGCTCGGGCACGTGCTCGCGCACGCGTGTTTATATGACCGGTCGCGCACCCCTCTCCCCCCTCCAGCGCCTCTCAGTCAGCGGCACGAGCGAGCCGTTACGACCGTCCGTTTACGTAGCCTTTGTGGAGCTTAGAGTTTTTGTTAAAGCCGTTGCTCAGGTATTGTTATTACCTATTATTCGATCATCGTTATTTCGTTATTATCGCGAATATTATCACACGATTGTCGAGCAGATATTATTATCACTGCCTATTATTATCACTTATTTAGTATTCGAGTATATTACTTCTTTATTCAGTTCTTATTTAATTTATTCCGTTATTATTTAATTATTGCTAGTACGCATAGAAAAGCAACTTGGGCGTGCCGTTACGACAATTTCTTTACCTCGTCTTTAATCAGTTATTATCGCTGTTGCCCAATTATTGTTATGTATTGTTATTACCTACACAGCAGGAATGTCTGAAATACATAGGGATATCTTGAAGATACTAAATATATCTTTAGGATATCCCTGTGATATATTTTGGACATTTCTGCTGTGTAGGTACCGACCAGAGCTCTCAGTTTGTTACATTAGCAGTACGCTGACAGCGTGGTAGGAGAACTCACACAAGCGAGCGCCCGTGGCCGTGAACCTCACGAACACGGGCGCTCGCTTGTGTAAGTTCCCCCACCGCGCTGCCAGCGTGCTGCTAATGTAACAAAACTGAGAGTTCTGGTACCAACCCAGACAGCACAATGTCCAAAAACAAGTTCATAAGGTATTGTCTTAAAGATGTTTTAAAGACGTCTTATGACTCGATTTTGGACATTTGTGCTGTCTGGGGATTATTCGATCATCGTTATTCAGTTATTATCCACACGTGAATGTTATCATACAATTGTCAATTAGGTATTATTATCACTACCATTTATTACTCGAGAATATTATTTTATAGTTGCTTTCCTACGCGTAATAGCAATAATTAAATAATAACCAAATAATTAAATAATTAAATAATAACCAAATAAATTAAATAATAACCGAATAAAGAAGTAATAATATTCGAATATTAAATGTCAGTGATAATAATATATGCTCAACAATCATGTGATAATATCCGTAAGAAAGACAAGACTGATGAGAGATGATCTAGCTTTGCGATAATATCGCCGCTAGCTCGCTTCGTACCTACGTTGCGCGGTCCACTCATCAGTGGTGAGACAAGAATAGAGCGATTGGACTTTTCTAACTTACTATCATTGTACGGAAGTACAACGGGCATAAACCAGGCGCATTTTATCATTATTACCGCGAAAATGCGCCTAACGAATATAATAAAGGCACACTTTACGTTAGGTGGTGTCTTAAAAATGCGTCTAGCTCTGGCCACTGAAATCAGCATAGACGTAAAAATATATGGATGAAGCATATTGTCGCGGGGGTGGAGCCCAAGGGGTGAAGGGAATGATTGTATGTATTCTAATGGAGTTGACATACCATGATGGCGACGGTCGCTGTTTTTATACACAGACAATAAATACAAACCTCCGACACCATGATGGCCGCGACGATATAATCCTCTCACCCCTTGGGCTTCACAGCCCCTCGTCTGTAATCGCACTTTGCGCTGCGTCCACATATTCTTACGTCCATAGAAATCAGATTGATGGCCGCTCTCATGCTTCTCTTTGACAATACGATGTTCAATAGAAGGCCGCTAATTCTTTTATGCATAAAAGCCAATGCACATGCACAAGCAATCCGTAACATGTTATGTTAAGTATTGACAATACAATAGCTATACGTGTACGTAAATTTAAACTTAAGTCAACGCATAAAGAAATCCATAAACTTAACATGTTATGGATGTTCTTGTGCAGAGATTCTAAGGTTTCTTGTCGCGAAGAAAATTTCCTGAATTAGCAACACTTCTCATAAAATAAAATCAACGCTAGCCGAGCGTTGGACAAGCAAATAAGGAGTCTAAAAGAATTATTAGACCCGTTATTCTATGTGACGTTATGGCTCCTGCACACAGGACGCGGTACTGGACTAACCTAACCTAATCTATCGTCACATTAGCCGTTAGTCATTGTTTATTAAAAAATTATTAAGAAAAAAAGTTGAACACTTTAATAAACAATGATTAACGGTTAATGTTGGGTTGGGTTTGGTTAGATTAGTTTTGGGGGGGGGTGCGGGGGGCGCAGTCCCCCACTAGTCGTTCGATATTGCAGTTACATAATGTGATTAAAAGATCAGTAACTTATTTAAATTGTGGGAAAGCAGCAACGTTCGACAAGTAAAAAAAAAACTAAAAAAAAAGTTAAAACAATATATTGTATATTTGTATATTTTTCGGACTCCCCCGATTAATTATTAATATTGGAGTTAAAATAAATATTTTTACCAAAAAAGCTGCAAAAAAATATCAAAATTCGAAAAAGGCCTTATTATACATAATTATCCGAAAATGAACCATGAGTATTGAAATACTAGATAGTACACAGATCGTGTCTGACTTCTACAGCAACGCTTGAGATCGATATTTCGGCCAAATATATGATTTTTTAATATTTTTTTATATTTAATTAAAATTATCTGGATGATTTACAAACCTTTTTAATGATACTTCATAACTCTTCATATGAAATACAAACGATACCATACCGAATCTTTATTTAATTTACCTCCGGTCATTATTTCCGACTAAATACATGGTCCAAAAAAGAACAATTAATTACAAGTAATAAAATGACGCACAAATCTTTTCAATTGCACTTCAAAACTCTTCATACGAAATACAAACGATTTAAAAGAATAGTTTTCCAACCGGAGTTTTTTTTCCGGTCAAGTACATACAAATCTCGCCGCGCGGCAAGCATTACCGCGTCTTGTGTGCAGGAGCCATTACTAGTTCTGAAGTCTCCACTAGGAGACGCCACTTTCCAGAACGTGAAATTGAAAACATGGGCCGCGTTCCGTTTCACACATATGCGCGCATTTATCTATAGTTCGTGTTACGTATATTGTAAGCAATGCGCGTATAAAGCTGGCCACACACACTTTTTGTAACAGTAACCATAAGACGTAACGTAAGAATTGACCAATTGCGATCAAGTATTCATAAATATAGCGACCTTACGATTAGACGATTCTTAATATGATTGGTCGATTTGCTTACTGTTTACGTCTTACTGCTTAAGTTTTTTTGTGTGCCACGGCCCTTAACGCGCGAAACGGAACGCAATCATAGTTAGGGTTAAGCAGGATATAGGCTTATGCAGAATTCACGCCGCGTTCAATGTCCGACGTACGATGTCCGATATCCAATAGGAGAACAGCTTTCTAATAGAGGATTCAATTCTCCATTGGAAAGCTATTCTTTTATTGGATATCGGACGTCGTACGTCGGACATCGGATGCGGTGTGAATCCTGTATTAGCACTTTCACCTAATACTCCTTTTTGTACACCCTATATATTCAAATAAACGAATGAAAACATGGTATAACTAAATAATGAGTCGGACGCACCTTAGCTTTTTACAGTAGTGCTACTAAACGGGAAGTCAGACGTCCTTTTATCTTACCACGTAATGGTGAAAACGCTTCTATTCACAATAGTGGGTCATTTGAAATCTCCATCGGAAATCAATCATCTACTGTACATACAAATAGGTTAGTATCTATCAAAAAGCATCAAAGTATATTTTTAACAAAATACGAATATTGGAAACATTATATGCTCATACATATTTACGTATATATAAGATCTATTTATAGAATCTATTTATAAGATCTATTTATAAGATCTATTTATAGAAAAAAATATATATAAAGAAATTGGCGCGCGCGCGCAAAAAACTGTTAGTAAAAATATAGTCATGTCAGTGCTTGTCATATAATGTACGATAATTTTAACGATTACAATTACTTAATAAATATGTACATATACATCAAATTAATAATTTTAAATAATAGATGAATACTATATAGGCAAAATACTGACTTTTTTCTGGTTACATTATATTAACTGCACAGAATTGTAATAATCAAAAAATTATAAAATGCTTCTCAAATTATTTTCTTACTATTATTTTTATAAATAAAGCATCTTGTTTGACTGTGCTTATTTTTCATGATAAAATAATTTGAGCTTTTAATGTTTAATTTTTAATTTCAAGAATTTGTTTATTCTAAAATAAATCATATATATTGTTACTGTTGAATACAAAATAGAACGGATCAAAATAATTCTAATAAGGTATATATAGACAAAAACCATATATCCAGAAAGTTTATTGTAATAAAATTGCATGACAACGGGCGCTACACATTTCATTATGGACAGTTTAATTGTATTCTATTTGTCATTTTATCATTTTATTTTATGTATTTGACATTATGGCATTGCCATTTGATAACAATTAAGAAACTATCATAAAATTTCATTAATTCTATAAATATTGAAAATATAATTGACCATTTAACTTAAAAGAATCAAACATTGATTCATCATTGTCAAACATCATCCGTCCCTATTACTAATGTTAGAACAAATTTTTAAAGTGATTTTGATGATATTCCAGGAATATATCTTATCCTAGGAATATATCTTAAATGTGCTTAATATAAATTTGGTGTATTTTTATGCTAAAAAGAATACATAGTCTAAAATCATAATATAAATGCTATCATATCTCAATTTTCTTGAAAATTTCAAATATTAGCATTTAGAACATAATGATTGATATACAAAATTGCTAAACTTGTATATTCAAAATTAAATTTTTCTTAAATTGAAAATTTTTAATTTAAATTTATAAGAAAAATTGCATATAATCTCTTTAAACTGAGTTATTGAACTTATTTCGATTAGTTCGATACTTTTACGTTAGATTCAGATCAGATTATATTTTACGAAGAAACTAGCTAAAAGATAATAATTTTACCATTTGGTAGCGAGTTTCTACTCTTTGTGTACATTCGGTATACTATTTGGATTTGGTTGTTGCTGAGCGGAATTCGATGCGACCTGTGGACTTTGTTGTTGGCTGTCTGATGCAACTCCTGGATTATTCGGCGAGACGTTATTCTGAATATTTTGTGGCACTTCGTTCTGTGTCTGTTGCTGTTGTTGTTGCGCTTGTTGGACCTGCGGAGGCTGGCCCTGGAATTGTTGTTGAACTTGCTGTGGTTGGGTTTGGTATTGTTGATGATCCTGTGGAGCTTGGAATTGCTGTTGATGTGGCATTTGCGCTTGATATTGTGGCGGGTGCGCTTGATATTGTTGTTGTTGCGATACTTGGCCCTGGTAATGCTGTTGCGGAACCGGAGCCTGATAGGGTGGAACTTGACCCTGGTATTGCGGCGGTGGTACATGACCAATCGGTTGTTGCGCCGCTGCATGTCCCGGATACTGCTGCTGATGCATGGAGTCTTGGTATTGCGGCGGGAACTGCGAAACAACGATTGAATTAGTACATCGAGAAGAGACAGTATCGCGTGTTCAATAAAGAACTCGAATTCGCAAGATGCGTGTCTCGCGGTTTTGAAAATTTTGCCTTTACTCACCTGTTCGTGCCGGACGGGTAGATGTGCATTGTCAGGGGGTGGTGGCAACTAACAACAACAACAGAAAGTGCACAAGCTATGTTAATTATCCTAATCACTACAGACAGCATGTCTTAATCCTTTGAAGCATGGTGTAACATATATATGTTATATCTCCCGAAATGTAAAAAAAAAAGTAATACTTTTTCCAATTTCCTTAAAAGTTCGCACCTTTATGTATTTTGATCTGCTGATTCCGAATCTGATGTCAAAATTTTGGAATTTGCGAAGGTTAGCTAAATATAGCGGCTCAAAAGTATGAAAATTTAACCCTTTAAAGCATACATTTCATTTTCTTTTCACTTCTTTTTTGTAAAACTTGTCATTTGGGGGATTTTTAGGGATGTTAATTACGAATCTGAAGTCAGACTTAAAAAATTTTTTAAATTCACAAGATTGCAGATACAAAATTGCAGATATGGAGGACTACATAATTTTTTTTGCAATTTTAGTCCTCTATATTATATCCGTCATCTTAAATTTGAAACATTTTTTAATTCTGACTTTAGATTCATAATTAGCGCTTCCGAATATCAAGTTCTATAAAAAAAAAAATGGAAGGAAAAATGTGTGCTTCAAAGAGTTAAACGGCCGATGGCGATAGCAATGGCGCAACTATACGCACAAAATCGTCATTAACGGGCGCTTGTATACACATGTCGTGCTAATTATAATCACGCATATATTGAAATATATACGAAAAAAATCGATTTAATTGAGAAAAAGAAAAAAAGAAATAGAACATTCTCTAAGTTCATTTCGAGCATGCTGTCGAATGAATGTATACGAAAGCGGAAAATAAAATTGTTCGAATACATATTTAAAGTCTATATACAATAATAATATACAAAATCAAATCACTTGATATATAGATATGCGGGGATTTAATGTTGTGAATAATTACTACAGCACACAACTACATTTATGACTTACTTATCTATTTGTCTTTTAATGCACTCGCAATATATGATCAAATACTCACCATTCCCTTGGCGACCATCTTCTGTACCTCCTCTTGCCTACGTCTCTCGTAAGCTTCGTACTCTTGTTGAGAGTAAATCTGCTCCTCGTCCAGTCCTTGCCATCCTTCGTCTTTTTGGAAATCAGGTTTTTTCGTCTGTTCTAAAAATTCCTGGTAACTGTAATAAAAATAAAATGTTAGTAACATGTTCCTTTCTTACGAGCAACTTTATAAATTGATGAACATAAATAATACTGAATTTCTGATAATTCGTTGAAACATATACCTTATAAGACCATCGTGATTAAGGTCAGCCTCGTTGAACACATGCTCCCTCATTCTTTCCATTTCCTCGCGTCTTTCGTAAATATCGTCCTCAGGAGCGCCTTCGCTGTAAACTTTATCTAATTCCTTTAAGAACAGAGCTTTCACTTCGTCTTGATCCCAAAAACCATTACCATCCAGATCTGGAAGAATTTAAATGATATGCATAAATAAATATATATATATATATATATATATATATATATATATATATATATACACCTTTTATAATAATATAATATAATAATAATAATGATAAAGATAATAAGATCTCATACATACCGTGAAGATAAAAGAATGTCTTGGGATTAAAGTCTTGATTCTCCATGTGATCTTGTTTCTCCCATACTTCTTCCAATTGTTGCTTACTACCAGGGTGATGAAACTATAAACATATTATTTGTTAGATGAAGTATAAAAGAAAATTATCTACACATATCCATTTGCCAACTTACAGGTTGGTGATCCTTATGCTTCTTCTTCAACGCTTCTAACTCCTCCTCATATTTCTTCCTTTCCTCCTCCTTCATACCTTTCAAGAATGAAATTTGTTAAGTTAAGAGCCAACAATCATGTAAACACTTTAATCATTCATTACATTTTGTCATAAATGACACCACTTCGCATATTAATAAATAAGTATAGAAGTATCATGTTCTGTTACCGGTATTACCCTTCATCTTTTGCTCCTCCTTAAACTTCTTCTGCATCTCGTACTCTTTAAACTCCTCGCGTCTTCGTTTATCAGCCTCGGCCAAGTCTCGCGTAGTCTGCAACATTTTAGTAAGAATTTAAAATATATCTTTATTAAACGGAATAAAGCCTGTATAGAATTTTTTAAGAGTTTCTAAACGTCCAGATGTCCTACCTTTGCGATCAATTTTTTTAAATCGTCTATCTCGAATGTATGCGTATTGGAGTGATCCAAATGCTCTGCTATCTTCAAATGACCCATATCTAAGCCGTTCATCAGATTATATTCTTTGGTAGCAAGATGCCTTAGCCTCTCCAATTCTTCTCGTTTCAACTCGTCCAGCTTTGTTCTGACCTTATGGTTCACAAACTGCAGTTCGTGTGCTATCTCGCCTGACTACGTACGAAAATATTTATTGAAAATTGGAGGTTGCACTCACATACACACAAAAGTTTAGGATAAATACTTAATTTTATAACATTCGAAAATGTCGTTACTATAAGAAAAAGAATTCTACAAAAGACTAAATTATATTCAATATAGCACAATACATCCCAGAATTATCCTGTATGCATACAGAATGCTTTGACAAGTCCTAGGACGTCTTGTGCGTTTCCAGAATTATCTCAGGATATCTATAACTGAATATTATTTTGAAAATTACACTTACGCGTATTTCGCGTTCGTTGGCCTTCTCCAACTTTTCACGAAACTCCACATCACTTTCCAAAGCTTGAATCACTTCTTTCAGGTACCTGTGATATTCCATAACATTCTCCTACAAATAAAGAAACAAACTTTTGCAGCAATATCACGAAATGATGTTATACTCGTATAAGGAATCTATCTAAAAATATCTTACTAATTCCGAATCCTCAACCTCATCTTTCTTGGTCTCGACTTCAATTTTGTTTTGCGAGACGGGCGGCGCGACCGATGTTTGTATTACTAAAATTGCCAAGAGTAACGGTACAAGGTGCTGCATCTTTCTGTAATCAAAAAAAGGAAAAGAAATTGTGAGGAAAATAATAAAAAATACATAAAATTTTTTAATATAAAGCGGAAACAAAGTAACACATATCACCTGAATGTGTGTATTTAGTTTGACTAAAATATATTTAGTCTTTGTCCTATCTGCTGCTGTATGTAAAATATTTTACTTGATAAAATATCTTGACTGACGATGATTGATCACAAATAAATTAATGATAATCTTGAAGTAAAAATGTTTCCTTGCTGACGTGGCATTATCGGCATATTTTACTAAAAGCTTTCGACATTATCTACTCATTTCCATTAAATAACTTAACGGAATTTGGGTAACCACATGTGTTGTACAAGTGGCGTCATGCATACGCGATACTCTCATATCAGAAAGGTCGCGGCTAATTGCACTCAACAGTGAAAAATTATAAAATGCTACAAATGACGTAAATAGCAATTAACTTATGTCTGGCCATAAATAAGCCTTCAGAAATGTTCAGAAATGCGAGATATAAAGAATATTATAAGTGCAATCGTAGTAGAATTGGTCATTAAGCTCAACAGCAGAAACGCAATAATTTTCAGCATGACGTTTCACCAACTCTGATAACACGTCATGCTAACAAGTCTTATCTTTACCAAGGTTCTTGTTCCAATCTTAATGTTAATATTGTGAAATATACTCAGTGAAGTGCTAAGATATTCTAATATAATTCTGGATATATAGGTAACCAAATCTACAGAAACAAATCTTGTGCAGTGTCAGCTATAAATGTTCGTTGAGAGCACGCTAGTAGAAATATAACAAGATCTGTTGACAGAATATAATTTTTACTGAATCATAATATCCTCGAATACTTGTTAAGACATTTTGAAACACGTCATTTAAATGCTGTATCTAAATTCTCTCTTGTACTACTTGAATAGCATGATTAGTACGTAGAACAATTACGATTCATCAAATTACCTCTACACCTTTGTTAATTTTTTACAATAGAAACATCTGTTTCTTGAAATATACGGTACATATGTCCCAAAGAGTAACGTCACAGTCTCATGCAATACTCAATGAAATTGACAACGCAACCAGATAGAAGTGCGAAGACGCGGCAAGAGCGTGTAAACGCGATCAAGGCTGCGTGACGAGCAGAGTGGAAAAGTGAGAGAGTGAAAGTTTCCGCGCGAGAGCAACTAGGCTCAAATTAATTGACAATGTGGATTCCAGAGTAGACCAGTATTTCCCTAGAATAATGAGTTCGAGTGGCAGACTTGCGCACTCGACTATCAGAGAGTCTATCTGAGTCTATCTATCGACTATCAGAGTCTTTGGCATATCGAAGGCTGCACTTCAAAATGTACTGATAATAATAAAGATCTATGATACATACAATAGTCTATATTCTGAACTCTCTTTTATCGCTACAAGTTGCTCAGAAGTCTTGTGATTGGCTATAAGCCACTTTTAGAAACGTTTTTTTGCGACAAAAAAAAAAGAGTTCCAAGTGTGAACCAACATGAAGTATAGATTTTCAATACTGTCAGCACATTCCGGAATACAACCTGAACACTTCAAGTCGAACACGTCGGATATCCTTGCACTGTGACTATTAATACCACGTCTAACCTTTCACTTTTTCATCCTCGCGGCTCGAAATCACGATATCACACGTCTCTCGCGACAGAAGACACAGTCGTGTCCGAGAGTTCTCGCGGACGACAGGTAAACTCAAGCGGTCGGCAACTTACATCGAAGCACGTTGAGATATCATGGCCCAATGTTTAAAAAACGATGTGGCCGTCAAACAGCCGGCTGCGCATTGGAGTGATCTAGCGTTGACGGAGACGTCTGACGACGATGGACAGACAACACCCACAATCCAAGCGCAAACGCGGCCAAATGGCACTACTGATGGATTGTCAAGACGGTGAAGCGGAGCGAGCGGAACAAAGAGCACGTGGCGCCCTCCAAAGAGAGACGGCCACGTTCGCTTTGCACTCTTTCGTCCTGAATGGGCACGTGTACGATTAAAGGGAGCACGTGAATGAATGCCGGCGGCGTGAACGAACGGCTACGCGTGCACGCTAGATGACGCCAGCTGTTCCGTCCGTCGAAATGACAGTTCTCGGTGGGACGCGACTGTTCGCGCAGCGAGCAGAGTGCTACACGACGCCGCTGACTTTTCCAGCACGTGTTCAATAAAAGGGATCTGTTTAATGGCGAATACGTGCCTCGACACAGTGAAAGAGACGCAGTATGAATGAGAAATCCTTCCTCGGCATTCTGCGTTAAGTAGTTATACATTTAAAATATTTAAATCGAGGATGAATTATTTAGAAGCGTCTTTCCTCTTTTTCTCCTTATCAGGTCGTAGAGGCGAGGCCTTTCGTAATGCAGCGCGTAAAACCGTAGCTTGTTTAGCTGGTATGCAAATCCAGCTCCCTTGAATGTTTCAGCGAGATTCTATAGTTAATTCGATAACAAATAGAGGTAAGCTCCTTGTTCTCGTATCGACGGGTCGGCCGTATGTATACATAGAAAAATACATACTGCATTCGAATAAATGTTGCTTGTATTTCATAAGTTTATGTATCCGCAAGTCTCTCTTAAGTTCATCATAAGCATCGAATTAATTCAAAATATATTCTAAATTCTAAGAAGTTTGGAAGATTAGCATTTCAATCAAGATTATTAAACTAAAAAAATTTATCTATTTACATAGAGTCAAACCAACTTTTTCTTCGATAAAGTTGTATAATATAGAGAGAATAAATTTTTCTTTGAATGTATGACGAGTCTTTCTAAAAGTTGTGATAAGCATATTGTAAGACTATTATCAAGAAAATATTCTTCGTTAAAAGTTACTTAAAAGAAAAAAAAGTAAACAATCGCTTTTCGTAGCAATAGAATGATATTTTTCTGTGTGTACGGACGGACTGCGTAATTTTGTTCGGAGAAGCCTTAGATCGGTATCTCTGTGCGATCGAGCGCGTAATTTAAGCGTATTCTAAACATTGTTTAACCGTGCAACGTGTGTAAGCTTATCGTACGGCGCGTAACACAGATAATTATGGTTGTTTCGATTCACGGCTGGATAGTTACACTGGCCGAGTGCCAGACATATTCGCGGACGTGCAAGCCGTACAAATAAACCGACTAACAGTCAATGATGACTATCCACCTACCACGCCGAGATCTAATCTAAAGTTAGCGCAAACTTATCAGGCTCGACTCTTTGACTTCGATCGCGAAAAGATAACCGCCCGCAAATAACGTCGGTCCGTTTCTTCTTTCGGCGAAACAAGATCCGCCGGGGGAATTTCCCCCGGGCCAATTAATCATGAGCAAAGCAAACAGTTCTCTCACCGCCTCCCTTTCTTTTCTTTCTCTCTACTCGATTGCAAAGGGAACAATCGAGGGGCGTTTAACGTGACGTCGTAAGGTCGACCGTAAAATTCGCGATCGAGCCGGCTAAATCACGATCGAGAAACAAAAAGGCAAAAGCGACACGTTCAAACGCGGCCGCGGCAAAGTGAAAATCTATTACCGGGCTTAAAGGCTCGGGCCAATAACCCCATTTACGTTTTATGGCCGGCTGCTCTATCTTGATTTGGACGGCAAGTAGGTTCCCGGTGTTTCTCGCCCTGGAAACCGGAAAGAGAACAAGCGCGCGAAGAAGAAAGACAGAGACAGAAAAGAAACAGAGAGAGAGAGGTGGAGGGAGAGAGAGAGAAAGAGAGCGAGAGGCAGAAGGAAAGAAGAGTAGAAGAAAGAGGAAAGAAAGTGCCCCATGACGGCATCGATGGCGAACGAACACGCCGACAGAGCAAAGTGGTCTTCGAGTATATATACGAGTGGGCACTAAAGTTTACGACCACGCCTCTGACCGATCGAAACCTGGACACGATTCTTCACTTTACACCAAGCCGAAGTCTCGGAACACCCGTGCCGCGCCGGCAGAGACACTCAGAACCACGATCCGCTGAAATCGCGACGATATCCTTGACTTCCGATCGGGATTTAAACCGTCCGCCCCACGACGCCGACGGTGCTCGCGCTTCGTCGCATAATTTCGAATCATAAATTATATTATCGAAAGAAGGGGGCGAAAGAGAGATTTGTCTACACATATCTCGAGGTAAGAGTCTCCTAATTAACGCGTTGTTACCCGAGATACTGATCGCGCCGATAGTATCGGCGATAGGATGCCGTACAAATTTTCGAGACCAATCTTTTGGAGCGTAGTGTCTCTCTCGAAGGCTAGGATTTATCGCATTTCCACAAATTAGCACAGGAGCGTCGAGGAATTCTAAAACACCGCATTTTAAGCATTATTCTAATAATAATACCTGTACTGATTCTCCTTTTCAATTATCTACGAACTACGAACGCAGATAATCAAATCTGCAGAAGATTATTTTGCCATTGTCTGTTAAAGATTTTTGTCAGCAGACCGCTAGCAAAGATACAGGATCTGCTAATACGATGGCAGATTGACGGCAGAAACCGAGCACAATCTGTAATTCCACGACCATTTAAATGAATTTAAATGGAACGCACCGCAGATCCGGCACGATTTCTGCTGCCAATCTGCTGTCATGTTAAGTTAGAAGGCACTCTGTTGACACAGCTTGAACTTGATGCGTGAACACAAATAGCCATATCTATTGCAGAATTCTGATTAAATTTGCTGTTAATCTGCTGATATATCACTAACATTTTGCTTACTGAGAAAATACAAGGCTTCATAACCGGGATCTCGTTGCGAAAAGACACATTTTCCCGATGACGAAACGCTCGATTGATTGTGCAACTATGCTGTACCGCCCCGTTTTTATTAGATCGACCGACCCCCCATCAGTGTTTCGGTGACAAGACGAACGCCGAAGAGATCACACGCGCTTTCCACGTTCCGAGAGCGACATGACACGAGCGCTGGATCGGGCGATCGCGCAGACGTGGAAGCCACCCCACCAAGGCTTCCCGGCCGAGGTTTGAATTCTTTTGGACGGTCATTAGGACGGTATACCTGTGTCTACAATCTTTTGTAGTCTCCTGTTACCCTGCCGGCCACAATGGCCGGGCCTGGACAAGTGTTTTCGTATCTGATTGACCCATCTCCGCGGGGCAGGGCTCCGACAAACGGCTAATTTTTCTTCGAGCTAACGACCTTCGTATACCTGACGTCCCTCTATATCTCTAACCTCTCCTCTCTCTCCCCTTGGCCTCTCTCCGTCTCGCTCGCTAGCCACCCGGGCGCCCAATTTCGCTTCTTTTGTCTTTTCCCGCGGTACGTCGCTCCCTTTTAGCTCCAACTCCCGCGAAAACTGCATAGTCACCGGAAATGCACGCGATCCCAGCCGGCGCGGCGAGTACTCGTCATACAAAGCGGAATTCTACCTCGTTCTCTCTCTCCCTCTCTCGCTTTCTGCTCCTACCGCTCATCCCCTGTAGCCCTGCAGTCCGTTTCTCCCTTCTCCTCCACGTCGTCTTTCGGGTACGCGCTCCCGAGAGGAATCGAGCCGATGTGGCCCGCACGGTCCATCCCTCCACCAGCGGACCACCTACCGCGCGGGAACGCCGTGTCCTGTCGAGGACCCGCCGCGAGGAGGGTCCTCACGTTTTTTTACCGTTACTCGTTTCGTTCGCGGAATTCATCGGGAAATATGAGATCGGGAAGGAAGGTGGGTGCACACGATGCGCGCGCGGTCGCTATAACGCCGCGTATATCTCTCCCTTCTAATGAATGAAGGCGCGCGCGCGTGAGCGTGGCGAGTAATTATGGACCGCCGACGAAATTCGTCGGGGGAGAACCCGCTTCGTGGTTCGGGACTCGTCTGGGAAAAAAAATTTGTCTGCATTAACAAAATGTTTGATGAAATATGAACGAACCAGAATCTCAATTGTAGTCACCAGAATTCTGTATTCAAATTAACAAGATTTCTGATTAATTCTTAAACAGAATTCTGGTAACTTCAACTGGAAACCTGGTTCGTTAATACTTCACCAGATATTTCATTAATTCAATCAAACTTTTTTTTCCGTGCATGATTCGTTGATAGCCGGCTTCACGCGATTCCGCCAATATACGCCGACGTTGGCCGAATGTGGCAT